ACGCGAAATATGTTGACAAAATATTACTCCGTCGTGATACTTTGTCTGACCGTCGTCAACGGAGCACCTGGAGAGCCCGGGGAACCGAAATGTTTCTCCAAATTTGACTACGACGAGAAAATGTTAATGAAACAATTAAGACTGGAGGACAAAGTTCAGAAATTTGAGGATTTTATTAATGAAGTAAAGGAAAAGGAGGAAAAGGAAAAAGAGGAGCGCGTTAAATTGCTTTCTGCAGAGTTAGGGAAATTCAAACAAGAGAATGCGGAAGAGATTGCGAGACAGAAAAATGTGACGTCAGAAATGCTCAAAGACTTGGCGAATTCTAAGATCGAGTTGGAAAAAAAATTGAACGAGAAATCAGAACCTAAGAAAGGTCAGTATAACATGAATGATTAAAGAAATCTCAATCGCGTTTTCTTGTTATTTTGTACATGTAATTAATTTCGTATTTGGCAAAATAGAATTATTTTATAGTCTTGATACACTAAAAATTCAGATTGCAAATAATTGGCCTAATTTTATCAATCATTGCATAGAGGATATTTGTTTAGTTCAGTGTAAGATCGGAATATATTTCACCGAGTGAGCACCAAAAGGTATATTTCACGAGTGGCGCAGCCACGAGTGAAATATGAACTTTTGGTGTTCACAAGGTGAACTATATTTCAATCTTACACTAAACTAAACACATTTTCTTTTTATTATATGCAAAGAAACGTTTAAAAAAGACATTTAACCTAATACTGAATGAAAAGCGCGCCAAATAATAATACAACGTGACGTCATTTATGACGTCACGTCATTAAGTTGGTACCCAGTACTGTGCACGCTGGTATTTCACTAAAACAACGTAAGGGGCTTAAATTTAAAACAGTGAAATTATCAAAGTGGTAATTTCACTGTTTCAAACAGTGAGATTACCAGTTTTTATATCACTGATATATTTCTATAAACCACCGAAAAGCATGTAATAATTAGATTTATTTTCATAAATATAAAACTATGGAAATGAGTATATTGAACAAACACTTTAATTCTGTTTCGTGAACCTTGCTAGGAAGGGATCGCTGGAGGTGTGAGAGTCACGTGTGATCCGATCTGGTAAACTCTTATAGAGTTATATCAAAGGAAATATAAAAATATATAAACGTAATATTTTAATTAATTTTCTGCTAACGAATAAAACTGGATATATATCTAATGCTTCTGATGAAAATATAGTTATTTCCTTTTTTTTTTCGACTGAAGAAATACAAAAATAAAATGATGCACTATTTAAATTGCGTGTATTGCGTTTGTATACACGAACATGCCAAACGTCAAAAAAACTCAATCTTTTTCTTATCGAAATAGCACATTCAATGCATGCCTTGAAATAAATCAAACTTATATCATTTACAGAACATCACTTAAATTGTTAATGCTATAACTCTTTCGATCTATCTCTATGCTTGCGTATTAATATTTATGAATGCGTTAATTTACATAAAACTATTTTTTCGCGTTTTTTTTTCTGGCATATCTCTTTTAAAATATTATTTCTTATACCGCAAAGATTACTATAAAATTTCAATTACTTTTGATCATGCAACTTTTGCGCAGACGTTAATGTTTACTACGTGCGTCAATTTCCCGCTCTACAAAAATAAATAATTCTATTTTTTTTGTAAAAAAATGCACGAAGAGATATAGAATTTAGATATAGTTCAATATAGAATTAATAAAACGAGTTGATAAAAGTATATTATGCGAGCTTCAGGCAAGTATAGTTACACCTTACTTAAAGGCCCATTATGTCCCAATGATGCTTGCATTTTTATTTTCTCGAATACTTTTACTTTTCATAACTTGTTACAGTTTCCAAGAACAATACTAATAAATCAAAATATTACGAAACGCATGACCTTTCTAAAGAATTAAAAAATATCGAATTCTGAGGCACAATGTGGCTTTAAATATTCTTAAAAATATAAATACATGTATAAAGCGTACACATACATCACTTTGTTGAAAATTTTAAGGACAAGTTTAGATTAATTTTTACTTATTTGAAATGAAAACACTTTCTTGAACTCACTACGCTTTTTTTTCGAAACTGCGGATTGCAAGTTGAGGGTTTCAATTTAGCCTTGCCTGGTCTTAGTGATTAAAGGCCTATTATGCCTCGAAAATGCTATCATTTTATTTCTCAAAACTGTTTATTTTTGGTATCTTGTTACAGCTTCAAAAATACTTATTTGCTATAAACACAAACTATATTTTGCATTTGGTATAATTGAAGTGAATAAGTATTTTGTATGGAAGTCAAAATACTACTTTGTTTAAATATTGCTATCTTTACGACACATAACAGCATGTTCAGCGCTACTTTTTTCAGTTCTCTCACTTGAGAGAATAATAGAATACAGGATGAAAAATCATTCGTATTAAATGGTAGTATTCAAGTGTATTATTATCCTTTTGTTTTTATTTATTTACTTTTTCGGATAGATTTAAAGTCGCAAAAATACAGTAGGAATAATTTGGCGATGCCAGCTTTAATTGTGGAAAATGACAGGTGCCCCTTCGTTCATTATTTAAGGCACGAGCGGGCACCTGAGTTGGACCATATATGTCCGGTAAGCTAGCTGGATAGTTTCCTTATATGAAAGAATCCAAAGTCCCTGGCGGGATTCGAACCTTTACGAGATATTTGGGTTGAAGTAAACGGCCTTAACCACTCGGCCACTGACGCCACCTGTTTTTGAAAGCAGCAAGTTATTTTATTGAAAAAGAAAAAGAAAAAAAAACACTTACAGGAAACCAGTCTGAAAATAAAATCTGGAACAATATACTGTTTCAAGAACTTTACAAAGAGTTATTTTATATTTCAGAGGAAGTCGTGGCATTCACCGTCGCTTCACCTGCGAAGGGTACTAGTGCAAACTCTATGACTTTCACAGAGATCATTACAAACGAAGGTAACGGGTTTGATACATCGACTGGCACGTTTACATGCCCTGTTAGCGGGCTGTACTACTTTTCCTTACACATCATGAAAAAGAGGTCCTCGAGTACCGACGCTGCCGGATGTTCCATTTATCTGAACGGAACCGGTAAGGTGAGAGCTTTTGTAGATCCACAGGACGGGTCCAATGGTGCGGACAACGGAAGTTATGGGGCTTCGAACTCGGTATACCTCTTACTGAAGGTTGGAGATGTGGTGACCATAGAGGGCTGTACAACTCGGTCTTCAGACGACGTAGAATCACAAACCTCGTTCAGTGGTTACTTAGAAGAACGAATTTGAGAAAATAAAACTTTAATGACTGTTATCAGTACATGTATATTTTTTTTAAAGCATATTAATTTAATCTACCGTAAGACACTTACCATTTACTGAAAGAACAAAATACAAAAATGTAAGCCAAAATATATGTCAGAAATAATAGTTTCTTCTTTAATCAGGGAGGTGAAAATATGGTACAAACATAGTAACTGGTGTCATAAGTGCAATCGTGAACCGTTCAACATGGATTGTAAGTAATTTTACATTTTCTTATTAGTGTTTGAACTCATCTGCAGACGTATAGGTATATTATTTAAAGCGGCCTTCAGCTTTTCTAAAGGTTAAATATGTTATTTTTAGATACATTTTTTTCATATAATTGTCATGTGAAAAATATTCATGTGGAGCATTTTTACACATTAAATGTCTTAAAGCGGTCTTTGTTATTGGAAAAAACATTTCTGTGTTGTTTCAAACTAAGTACCTTGGAAAAGTGTATCATATCACTACTTAGCCTTCCCGAGAGTTTTTATTGCAGCGATAAAATCACTGTTTGTCGTTCGGATGCGCCCTCGTGATATAATGATGCGCATCCGAACTCCAAACAATGATTTTATTGAGCGATAAAATCACTATTTGGGATATATTATTTCTTAAATAAACCAGGCTCCTCTTTATTTAGAAACGAACGCCACTTACGCGCAATAGTTCCAGTTAAATTTACAGGGAAGAACCGAATTTATGTAAACATTTCATTGGTCATTTTAAAATTACAATCTGAAATCTCGGAATCTGATTGGCCATTGTCAAATTAGTAAAATGACATAACTTTAGGATTGTTTCTGACATAGTATACCCATCTAATTTTTAATTGATTTAAAGGATGCCGTCCCTGATATTAAGCAAAATTGCGCCTGATTTTTTGTTACGTCAACAGTGATTTTATTGCATATTCTAACACGACCCGCATTTTCCCTTTTGGGCATATAAGAACCGTAAGTGTGTGTTATTATGCAATACAATCACTTTTTGACGTTCTATATTTAAGAAATAACATCGGCCTGAGAGGTGTATATCGGAGCCCTATTTAACGCCGGTTTGGAGTTGCATAATAAAATCATTGAAAGATCTTTGAATTACTTAGGCATTATTAATACATAGTGTTGTTAGTATTTGTTTATCGTTATGATGAACTGCGGTATCCTAAATTTGAGTAAGCAGTTTTCATAGTTTTATAGCAAATTGAACTTGTAAAGGGAGACTTTTCAATGAAACAGCCAAAATGCTCATGAAGTAATGGGTTAAATGTGGACAATGTTGAATATTGTTTTTTCAAATTGGTCATGTTACAACATTCAACAAACAAACTTTGCTCTATGGTTAACATATAATTATATAACCATTTTTAATTTATTTTGTCATAATTTTGTTTTCCGGGGACCTAAACATAAACAAAATTACAAGAAAATTAGGATATTTTATTTTTAAAGAACTTTTTTATTCACAATTAAAACGAAAACAAAAACACTTACTGATTATAATAACTTCTTTACTTTTTAAGGTTCCTACTTCAAACTTCAAATATATATTTCTTATCATAACACACATGTTGTGTGACAAGGTCCATAACACTAGTGTGATTTTTTCCAGAATTACTCCCCCTTAAATTTGGAATTTGTTAACAACTATAACTTCTTTTCATAAGAAGAAATATATTTATATCATAATTTATATTTTTTTCATAGTTTTGTCTTCCTATTTAATTAGTGGAGCTTCGCTGTCTCCTGTGACAGCTCTTGTTTATGTCTGTGTCATTGTAAAAGGAAAACAAATGAAACATGGTACAAGAATACTGGTAGCGTCCTTTGCAACATACATGCAGAGATAAAACCATAACATTGTGTGCCTGGTTGTCATAAAGAATGATCGCAAGTGTTGTCTGAAGTCAAAGGAAGTCCCCTAGCCATCTCAAGGCGACTTGTTACAGAAAATGATATGGGTTGACGAGTTTCAGGTGAGGCGGCTGAGCATCTCTAGTGCTCATGTGATCAATGCATGGTTGTCCATTCATTCGTCGCCCAAAATGTGTTTGTTTTGTTTTTCGATATCATTTGTAATATCAGTAGATACCTGTTAAATGATTGTGACTAAAATTAATCGATTGTTGTAAGACAGTATCTTATTGTACGATATTCTTTCTAGGCAATTATAATTTAAGGTCATTATGCTCTCTCATTTTCTTTGCAAATCGTCACAAAGGAGGTCATTTTTCCCATACAAAAATAATAATCCGTCTCGTGTGTAGAACCCTCTGAGATTTTTTTTTCAATTAAGAACTACATTGTAGTCAAAATCATCAAATTTATGACTCGTAACCGCAACAAGTTAAAGCCCCCACCCCATCCACTATTTCTGTAGGAGTCACTAAATTTCGCTAAACATTGCCAATTCACACGAAATATAATGACGCAGACAACAAACATTTCTGCTTTTTGAAAATAATTCAAAAGTCCAAATGAATGGAGATATCTGTGTTTTGTTTTATCTCTGTTAATCGATTACTGAACAATCCTTAACATTGATTTCAAAAGAAAATGGTCTCCAATGACGTTTAACAATTCCTTTTGATTTGACACTAAAAGCCAAAGATAAAATCCTTAAACGTGAGTTTTGTGAAGTATTTGTCATTTATGAAAACATGCTTCCAGGTGTTACTGAATTACACCTAAATTAGAATCCTACCTTTGTAAACAACTCCGGAACGTCGGTGCTTCAGCTCACTTCCAGGTCTTGCCTGATATAATGCAATGGACTTGTTTTTTTTGGCACCGTTTAAATTTCAAGAACATGTTTTTGAGTTACTTTAATATGGAACGCCGTGACTGTCTTATGATATCAATGTTTTTGCTATCTTGTGAAATGATGATATTATTTTGTCATTTAAGCATATTAACATGTGCAATTTACATCATATCTTGTCTAAAGACAATGCTGACTTGTTCAAACAGCATGTTAACTTGTCAAATAATCATTATGACATGTGCAGACAACAGGTTAACTTGTCAAAGTATCATGATGACTTGTGCAAACGACATGTTAACTTGTCAAAATTTCATGCTGACATGTGCAAACAGCATGTTAACTTGTCAGCAGTTATCGTGATGACATGCTCATAATACGTTAACAAGTTAACATGTGTTTTGCACAAGTCATCACGATTCTTTGACAAATTAACATGTTGTCTGCACAAGTCATCATGATAATTTGACAAGTTAACATGGCATTTGCACAAGTCATCATGATACATTGACAAGTTAGAATGGAGTTTGCACAAGTCATCACGATACCTTGACAAGTTAACATGCTGTTTGCACATGTCATCATGAAATTTTGACAAGTTAACATGTCGCTTTCACAAGTCACCATGATACTTGGACAAGTTAGCATGTTGTTTGCACATGTTATCACGATGATTTGACAAGTTAACATACTGTTTGCACATGTCATCATGAAATTTTGACAAGTTAGCATGGCATTTGCACAAGTCATCATTATACTTGGACAAGTTAACATGTCGTTTGCACAAGTCATCATGATACTTGGACAAGTTAACATGCTGTATGCACATGTCATAACGATAATTCGACAAGTTAACATGCTGTTTACACATGTCATCATGGAATTTTGACATGTTAGCATGGCATTTGCACAAGTTATCATAATACTTTGACAAGTTAACAGTACGTTTTGACATGTCAGCATGATACAAGATAACATGTCATTTGCACAAGTCATCAAGATTCTTTGACAAGTTCACATGTTGTCTTCACAAGTCATCATGGTAATTTGACATGTTAACATGCTGTGTGCACAAGTCATCATGATACTTTGACAAGTTAACATGCTGTTTGTACATGTCATCACGATAATTTGACAAGTTAACATGTCGTTTGCACAAGTCATCATTATACTTTGACAAGTTATCATGGCATTTGCACAAGTCATCATGACACTTTGACAAGTTAACATGCTGTTTGCACATGTCATCACAATAGTTTGACAAGTTAACATGTCGTTTGCACAAGTCATCATGAAATTTTGACAAGTTACCATGTCATTTGCACAAGTCATCATTATACTTTGACAAGTTAACATGTTGTTTGCACAAGTCATCACGATACTTCGACAAGTTAGCATGTTGTCTGCACATGTCATCATAATAATTTGACAAGTTAACATGCTGTTTGTACAAGTCAGCATGTTCCTTTGACAAGACATGATGTAAATTGCACATGTTAACATGCTCAAACGACAAAATAATATCATCGTTTCACAAGATAACAAAAACATTGATTACATAAGACAGTCACGGCGTTCCATACTTTTACATTGTTAACGCGGATCTGCTTAACGTGGATAATAATGGCAGGTCCGTTTTAAGAATATTTCGTTTGAATAAATTCAAATCACTACAATAGTTTTAAATTCTGTGACCATGATCTTTTCCATTTTATCTATTATTTTCAAAATAACCAACCGGATTAAACATCAGAAAGTCTAAAAATGACTGTGTAAGATTATTTCATTGAATTTGACAACATGCACCCTTCTCACCATTGTCATACCATAGTCAGTAACGTTTAACACGGAATCATCTGTCCTTGATGATCATCTGTCATGAAATTCACTTCAATTTTAACATGTTTTATTGAAATATATACATTCATATATATAATGGCGCCTAGATGGTAGATGTGATATTTCAAATCCCTGAAGAAAATATATTTAAATATAGCGGAGTTGATTTCATTATTTGTTCAAATGCAATGTAATTGGTCTTAAATGTTGATCCAATTACTCGCTCGAAACATTTAAGTAGATATATTATTATATTATTAAGCATTAGTTTGAGAAATTGACCTGGGATTTTTATTAAAAATAATTTAGTACATACAAACACTTTCTTCAAAAGTTATGCCATGTGTTTGAATATATTAATAAGAAAAATAAGGCCTTTCAAATTGAAACCTGTCTTTAAAATATGTGTGCAAGCTATGGCTAAATATATCTCCAAGCACTAGCCCTAATGGATTGTTGTTTTCTGGCCCTTAACATTCAACTGCTAGAACCGAAAGTCGTTTGGTTATGACAACACTATAAAGCTAGGCCAGCCTGCACGTTCGCGCAGTCTGGCCTGATTTCATAGTATTGGCTTACTAGAATTTTTCATCTTGATACCCCAAAATTGATGATAATAGACAGTTCTAACAACTGAAACAGGACAAGTCCATTTCAGATCTTCAGCAGGTTAAGGAATTTACAAGATTCATTGTTTCGAAACATTTTAAAATATTCATAAAATACATACATGTATATATTTAGTAAAACATTCGTTTGGTGAAACTTTCAAAAAATCAATACCCCAAAAGATAAAAC